GCAGAGTATCCTGTAAAGCAAAAAGCTCATCATAAATTATATTATCAGGTGGACAATAAACATGTAGTCAGATACATATTGATTTTACTTTGCATGCAACAAACTCCAAATTAGAATCAATTGCCACTTCACTGAAAGGGAGGCTTTGATAGCACACACACACACAGTAACCTAGGTTCGAGGCCTGGTCAGGGAGGATTGTTACAAATCTATATCAATGCGGCATTGCAGTATTCCATCTTTTATATATATACCTCAGTACAACTGATTATAGTTTCAAATTTCTAAATCAATTTCTACTGAGTGTCCACAGGGTGTGTGTAAAACCAATACTCATGTATGAGAACATAGGAGTTAGGAGCTCGTTGGATCATAGTTGTGGCATAGTTGGTTTAGTACTGGCCCTCTGATTTTATACATAGAGTGACCTACATTCGAGATCTGGTCAGGGAGAATTGTTATACAGATAGTCCCCTACTTGAGAACATTCTACTTACGCACATTCCATACATATGAACAATTTTCTTTTTAAATACTTAAGTTTGAAAGATAATAGAAAACTCCCGGGCGCGAATATAGTTCATGAGTCTGCCACACCATGGTGCTACCGAGCTCACTCAGCGGTGTGCATCAGTCGCCTGCCCTCCTGCCATAAACACGAAAGCATCTCTTCACTGTGTCCTCATGTACCAACAATTTTTGTGCCATAATTCGCTTTACCTGTGCATCAATCCATCAAAAATGTCAGGTGTGAAAAGAAAGATAAACGGTGAAGCCAGTGGAATTGCCAAGAAACGTCAGGCTATAACTTTATCAATCTTATCGATCGGTTCACCAGCCAGTCACCACAACAATATATTTTCTTTTTGAATAAATTATGTTTCTACATTAAAGTTGTATAGATCACCATCAAATAATATTAAAAGCATTACATATTACAGGTACTGTATAAGGTATGTCGTACTTATTAGGATATATGTACAGGTATTCTTAATGTAAACAAAACTTTAAAACAATGGGAAAAAAGGGAATGGAGATCCAATTGGACATACAAACAATTTGACTTACGAACACCCCCTCGGTCCCCATTATGTTCTTGAGTTGGGGACTTACTGTATATACAAATACATATATATACATATATATTGTGTACATATATATATATATATATTGTGTGCATATGTATATGTATATATATATATATATATATTGTATATCTATGCACACATATATGTATATCATATAATTATATATGTGTATATATAGATATATATACATGTATACATGTGTATATAAATATGTATATATGTGTATATATATGTCTATAATGCATATATATATACATATGTATATATATGCATATGTATATATACATGCATATATATATACATATGTATATATATGCATATGTATATATACATGCATATATATATACATTATGTAGTACTTAATAATCTAACATGAGAATCTGAAACCTCAGACCCAATGAAATTAACCGAAGCAATAAACAAATCAATTTTCAAAAAATATATAACAGATGATACATTAAGAGTACCTGAAACAAGAAAAGCAATAAGACTTGATATATATATATTTGACAAAACTGTCACATTTAAATGAGATAAATAAACTAGGCGACTGGCATTTAAGCTATAAACAGCCCACATCAAACAAAAAAAAAGAATGCTCCTATGACACAGTATATAACAATCCTCCCTGACCTGGCCTCGAACCTAGGTCACTCCAGGTATGAGACCGGAGGAGTGTGCAACTAGGATCTAACTAGCTCCATAGACATTACCTATCTACTCATACATGAGTAATGATAGCGAGGTTTTACACACACTCCCCGTGGGCACTCGGTGGAAATTGATTTAGAAATTCGAAACTGAAGTCAGATATCCTGAGCTATATATATGAAATATGGAATAATGCAATGCCACAAGTGAATTGAAAGACCTTATTAAAAACACAGGAAAAAAAAAATTAAAATCTGAATACAATAACAAATTCAAATACCATAAGCCATGTTGGAATGTAAAATGAATAAAAAAATAAAAATAAAAATAAAAAAGTTTACAAGAAATGGAAAAAAACACCAAATAATGAAAATCTAAAAGAATATAAGAAAAAAATCTTAATAGAAGACAGATAAACTACAGAGAAAGAAAAAAAAGAAACTTCGTAAAAAATTCTGCATTTCAATAGACTTTAACATCCTATCAAAAAAAAAAATTGGAACTTTATAAAAAAGCTAACAGGAAAGAGAACACAAATCAATTACCCTTTAATTGGCAATGACCTACCAGTCACTGAAATAGGAAAAAAAAAAACTAGTACTTTAGAAATAACTGATAAGATTGCAAAAGAAGAACTAATGTTGGCGATAAAGAATACATAAAATAACAAAGCATATGGACCTGATGAAATTCCATATGAATTTTATATAAACTCTCCACCTAAAATCCTAGAAAGGGAATCAAACTCATACAGATTCATTAGCCGAATGAACTGCCTTGCCCATAGCCACCAGGGAAAATGAATAAAAAATAGGCAAAATGCTGTGCTCATTTTTTGTATTTTTTGTGAAAAATATCTTGAATTGGCTCTGAGAATATCAACAGGATGCTTCAAATCTACCCCAATAATATCACTCCAAGCACTAACAAATTAACCTTCAATAAGCGACAGAGCAAATGAATTAGCTAGCAAAAAGCAGGTAAAATTATTGGATAAACCAAAGAACATGCCAGTAAAAGAACTAATAGTAAAAAAGAATACAATCACAACAAAGATAAAAACTCCTGGATTCACAAAGTTATTGAAAACTAAAAAAAGCTTAATATTAACATAAATATAAACGAGACTCAAAATGTAACCCCAATACCACCATGGTATGACCATGACACATAAACTAGTAACAAAGTTTATGGACAACTTCAAAAAAAACTTGTCTCATGAAATAATTAAGACACAGTTGCAAATGTTAATAAACACAGTTTATGAAAACCATCATAAAATATTAACAGATGGATAAAAAATAAAAGAACCAAACTCAACATCAGCAGCAATTTATATGAAAAAAAATCACAACAGTTTGGAGATTACCAAAAAAACTCAAATCATAGAAGCAGAACTATATGCAATAAAACATGGGTTGAATTATATAAAGCATAACAAAATAACACACATTAATCTTCACTGTCAGCAATATTAACACCAAAAAATAACCAACCCAAAAACTATAAACAAATCACATATGAAGTGCAAAATATAATTTACACTTTAACAAAACAAAAATATCACAATACAATGAATCCCAGCACATAAAAGCAAATAAACTGAGCACATAAACTGCAAATGAAATAGTAGATCTTGCAGCAAAGCAAAGCAAAGTCATGAATAAACATCACCCAAGATACTAACAAAATAAAAGACAAAAAAGATGAAATCAAAAGACAATGGGAAGAATAGCTACACAAGACCCTGATCATTAAAACCAATTACCTCAAGGATAACACCCCACAACCATGGTCTAGATCAGAAAACAGAAAATTAGACATGTCTTACAAGAATACTAACCTAAACAGATTGAATTTAGAAACTGAATCAAACAGCAGATGGTGCCAACATCTAGGAGAACCACTAGAGCACTTTACATTACAGTGCACAAGATTTCACTCTGAAAGAACCAAATTACTAGAGACACTAAAAAAAGATAAAAATAACTAATCCAGGTATCTCTCTACTCATAACAGGGGAACGCCAACCTTTTGCAAAGAAGTACTACATATTGAGACACATGAATGTCTTCTTACAAAGAACAAGATTAATCAACATTATATGAAACAGAGGCCAAATTAATAACAGAAGGAATCCTTCAAACAACAGAAAGATCCAAAGAAAAAAGATACTGGGAATATAGACATAAGAAGCACGAAAAAGATATATATCATATATATATACATACTATACATATATATAAATACATACACACACGTGTGTGCGCACACACACACACACGTTTACATGTGTACATGTGTGTATATATATACACATATACATACACATAACATTTAAATTTATATATACATATATATATTCATAAATACTTAATGAATGCAATAGGAGCTTACTTACATCAAACATTTTGAGAGCATCAACGTAGTCAGTCAAAATCATTGGGAGCCCATTGCGCTTGAATAATGAATAAATTTCATCATTGATAAACACTGGGTTCAAAGAGTCTCTGGATACTGAAAAAGAAATCAATGTTGTACATAAATCTTTGCAATAGATTTCATGTTGGATTTTTGTAACACAAGATTTTATATCATAACTTTTCCATCTTGGTATAAAAATTTAATGAATACTTACTACTGTCATCCTGCATAACCTTTTTTTTGCAGTACTCATAGTCATCTACCTGGTTTAGCTCCCAATCCTTGACCATAGCATTCGCCACAATATCAAATACCTTTTCAAGTGTTACGTGATCATTCTCAGATGACAGTAATTCAACACTTTTGTCAATCACACCTAAAAGTAAACATCAAATCACAAACTTTAGTAACCTTTTTTTCTTTAACTGTACATGTATTCATTACGACAAAATACTGAAGAGTATTACCATGATGCTAATACTTATTAATATTAATCAATATCATTTAACCCTTGTGATCTGGTTGACTTGACCATCACATCATGAAAAAGTTTAGCTCAAGGAGTAGGTCAAGTGACCATGCTGTCATGGGATAATTTGGCTGTGGGCCAGGGCGATGCGAACTTGCCATTGTGAGCATTTTGGCTGAAGACCGGGGTGTCACGGAAGACTCATCACAAGTGCACAAACCTCTTGGAGGATGATTTGACATATCTAGGAAGCGACTTTTGCATTATTTCCACTGATAAATAAGTGTGGAATGTAGTGGCTGTGATCCATGACTGGAAGTGCCAGCCCTAGGGAGGATACTATTTCCATGCTCAACTTCCTATTCCTGGTTGCCATGACTGGTGGCACAAGTTGTATTACAGAAAATTTAATATGATTTTTTTTTTTTATGAAACAGAAAACACAATGTTACTTATTGTTATCATTTTTGCACTGAGATATGGAGTAGTGAGATATATGGGGTGCAAGGAAAACACCCTATTACCATCTGATAAAGCAAATCAAATAACAAATATGAACATGGGAAAATGGCAAAAAAAACTAAAAATATTTATGCATACAAAGAAAAAAATAACATTGCAAAGGGGAGGCATAGAGACTTGTCACTACACAAAAGTGTTCACATGCACCTGGCCTGTAAGCCCTACACTAGTCAGAGCAGCCATTCGCATAACACTAATGCCTGTATTTTGGGCCTTGTGATTGCCAAGAAGCATCCAGATCCAATGGGTTATGGGGGAAGCTTTAGAGTAGGTTCAAAATTTAGCTAATGCTGGTTGTGAATCCCTATCCATTAAAAAGAATTATCCACAATAGTCTCTGTGAAATATTTTTGTGAAATGTCTCAGTACATAGATGGCATTGCTAGTGCTTAGCCACAAAGTAGTTAATTAGTAGAGCTTGTTACCTTACTTAATTTCACATTTCCTTAAATTGGTGAGAAAAGCATTTTTTTACGAGTGCTATGAATATCAATGGTGTTATTTTTATTATAACAAGTATAATTACTATAGTGTTATAAACATTAGTAACAACAAAATAAGATAACAAAATATTTTCGTAAATCAAAGAAAAGGGTAAACAGGCTAGACAGGCAGTACTTGTAATTGGCTCATTGGTGACTTAGTATAACTGTAGCCATCTATGTATAAAAACAATTAGTTAAGTAAACTCAGTAAAGTAAACCATGCCCACTGTGAGTTTACTTTATTGATTGTTTACCCTTTTCCTTGATTTAGTGAAATATTCTACATTATCTTATATAAATACAAATATGAATATAAACTCTTTGGATCATACTAAAAGTTTAGATCAAGGAGATGTATAAGAAGTTTAAAACACGTATTGCAATAAAATAGAGTGCTAGTCAAAATTGCAATAGAAAAAGTGTCAAAAACGTAAAAATGTATACTTAAACAGCAGAATTAAGAGTGAATGATCAAATAAGAACTCAGAAAGACTAGCTGGTAGAGAGAGGACTGTATTGTAATAAACTTGTGATGAAATATCAGAAGCCATTTTCATAGAACTTAGTAGAAGTAAAAAAGAGAGCCATTAAAAGGCTACAAGTGACCGAAAAAAAACAATAATCTGTAAGATATGAAAAAATGGATCCAGTGAGTGATCATATGATCCACAGAAAAGAAAGAAAACTTTAAAAATGATGGAAAATTTTAAGATTTAGTGTTTTGATATAATTAAGCTGCTGAAAAATAAAATTTGTAAAAAGAAACAGGATATCAAAAACACAAACAAAGAACAAAAGATACCTCAGGTAAAACTGAAACGTATGAAAGGCAGGATAAATACAGTGCATAGCAAGATGCAAGCAATGTTAAAGAGAAATTAACAAATCAACAAGAAAAACACAAGAGCCAGACAGGTAAGCTAAAACAAAAGAAAATGGGAAACTTTTGAAATATTCAAGCAAAATAAAGAAAAGCAAATGACTAGCTGAGACCAAGTGATGGAAACAAAAATAAAATTAAGCAAAAATAGAAGAATATGAACAGAAAAGACATTTTAAGCAAAAAGGCTATTCATATACAATGTTGACAAAAAAGGTGATAATGAAAAATATATATTACAGCTAGAACACAAGAGCTCAAGAAAATTGAGAAATTATAAGGTATTTTGATATCCACCTAACTGAAGCTTCAAAGAAACAAAAATAGAAGTTTGGCAAATCAACTTAAAGAAAACCTAAAAAAAAATGGAGCTGGAAAGTAGCAGTACATCACAAATGACAGACAATGGCACTGAACTTAAAGAGTAAAAAACAGAGGCAATAATTATAGACCCTTATCAGAATTTCAGTGCTGATAATACTGAAGTATTTGTCATAACTTTCAATGAAACAGATTGCAAAACAATCAGCAGATGGACCTGATGAAATTTCTGTAAAAAAAAAAAAAAAATAATGAAAAACTATAGCCCACTGATCCCAAGTCCACTGAGAGAGGGAACATAATTCTTACTTACAATGGTGGAAATAAAGGTCAGACAAAATATTACTGACCAATAACACTAACATGTCACATAATGAAGTTATCCGAAAGATTATTATTAAAAAAAAAAAAAAAAAAAAAGTCCAGTACCTACAACAAGAAGACATTCTAAACCCTGAAGAGCATGGGTTTCAAATGGGCAGATCTTGCCCTGTTAGATCCTGTTGTTTTGTAAATTTTGTTTCCACAGAGATGGCTCCAAAATCACTCAGTCACCCAAAGGACAATCCATCATCATAATAAAAATCCTAATGGCAGATTTCTTTTTTTCTGTTCGCTTGTTTTCTGATTATTTTTTACCAGTCTTTACTGAGCTATTTTAAAAGAAAATACAGAGAAGAAACACATGGTCTACTGTAAAGAAATTGCATAGGTTACCAAGGGAAAAAAGGGACAGAGCTAATAATGTCCACACGTTTAGAAGGGTGTTTAGAGGGTGTTGCAGGGGACATATCCCCCTGCACTGGACAACATAGTGACTGATTATATGTACATTATTCATACTTTACCCCGCATTCTCCATGATACCTCTCATGCCTTCATGATGTCAATAACAGCATCAATATCAAAAGCATGCAAAAAAATATATATTTCCCAAAAACTCAAAAAAAGGGAAAATTAGGAGAGGCCTACTAATTATTCCTTGGTGGTTAAGCACTTTTGGACCCATCCATTTATAAATACTTTTAACCCATTCGCACCGGGTAAAAATGAACAAAAAATGGGGAAAATGCTGCGCTCATTTTTTATATTTTTTAATTAAAAAATTTCTCTACACTAGATGGCTCTGCCTTACCTGACTTCACCTTTACTTGAATTGGCAGGAAAATGTATTTTTACTGGTGCTATGAATATCGATGGTTATTTTTATAAACATTATAATTACTATAATGGCATAAACATTAGTAACAACAAAATAAGATAATGTAAGATATTTTCGTAAATTAAAGAAAAGGGTAAACAGGCGAGACAGGCAGTACAAGTACAAGTGTAGCTATCTATGTGTGAAAACAATTAAACAAGTAAACTCACGGTGGGCACGTCACATACGTGACATCCGGCACGAATGGGTTAACAAAAATGACCACAAGCAGCCACGTTATTGAATACAACCTACTATTTTATTATTCATCCTTCATATCTGGACCACTAATATGTAGATTTCTATATTAATTCCGTATTTAGGTAATTTACTGGTAAACTTGATTGACACAATTATTAAGAGCAACTGAGGCATCAAATACAATGGAATGTTAGGCAAAAACTCAACTCTGTTGTTCCTAGTTTTCCAGGATATAAAAGATTAAATTTTCTAAAGCATGAAAAATCATATAATAGATGAACCAATCATTTGAGAGTAAAGCTTATGCTCACAACTCATTATAACTTCTCTTACCTAAGCTGCAAATAGACTGTGGTGCAGCTGACAGATCTAAAGTTGCCTGCTCTCCTGGCTGCACTCTGGCAGCTGACCATACAAGATTCACATCATTATCCAAGCATTTTCCTATGTCAAAGATCTGAGTGTCTGAAACAACTTCACCATCTGGACGTGTGTACCACACAACAACCTAGAAAAAGGGTGTTTTCTTATCTGATTTGAATATGCAACACAAAGTTATCACATAAAACAGCAGGAAAGACTTTGATGCTAGTAGAACATTAAATAATTTCAGACTAGATAATAGATGAAAATAATAATCAAAGTAATAAATTCTTGCAAAAGTGAGAAACTAATATAAACAATAAATTCAACCAGTCGATACAACAAAAAGAAGTTTACATTTAGTTATATAATTTAAAGAGAAATTTAAAGTATTCAGAAATATTTCTATAACATACAGGTCTAAGTTATGGAATATATTCCGCATTTATCAAGATTAAACTAAAAAGCTTGTATCAGCATGAAAAGAAATCCAGACATACAAGTAAATTACAGTGGTTCTACATAAGATTAAAGCTAAACCAGCTAACACTTTTTTCAAAATACTTAAAAAAAAAAAAAACTAGAACAATTCATAATGATAAAACCAAATATTCCAAAATATTCCTCATAAGTTCTCCTAGTTTAACCTCTATATAAAGAAAAAATTAATTCAAATATGTTCTATGACAGTGATCTAATCCATTTAACTTTTTTCTTTAAAATATCCCATAATATATCTAAGACTAAACTTTGACATTAAACGAGAACTGCTTCCTATTCCACTTGCAACATGGTGTCCTGATCTTGGAAGTTTTTGGTTTTGGAAGACATTTGCAAATTAATACTCATTATATATGAAAATAAAAATAAGATACTATTTCCAATGTGATAAAAAAAAATGATATAAAAAGGTTATATCATTAAAGAGGAACTAATCACATTGAATATACATTAATGGCAAAATGATACAGATGAAGAAATAATAGACGAAATATGAAAATTTATCTATATTATGACTGTTATTCACATGTAACATTCATCTCCAACTTTTGCAATCATCATTACATACAAACCTTGGCTGAGGGAGAGGCTGTGTGAGGTAACTTTATTGGAATGTTAATAACTCCAATAACTGTATGTTCTGGGGGAGGTGGCAAGGGTTCTACTAGATGGTCTTCATTAATTGGTAAGTTACCAGATGATAGCTCGTACTCTGCTGAACTCGAGTACTGGATCTGACCTCGTGATACAACCTATGGAATACCAGTGGAGGATTACACGATGTATATGAAAAGTTTGTCTTTTGGCACATCATTGGTAAATGCAAGTATCACCTGGATGTTATTTTTAAAATCAATTATTATCATAAAAAAAAATTGTCTAAATGTAACACACAAAAAAACAACATACCTGAACAGTAAATGTAGCCCTTGTCTGATTCACAGCAGCAAAAAGGACTGGAATATCATGATCATGGCCAGACATTTTACATGACAGATGATTTCCAGGAACACGAATCACCAAAGATGAATTTGAAGGAGAATAATATTTTTTCAACTGATGAGAATATCTTGATTCATACATTTTTGAACGCCATCTTATTGATGGATGTTTGACTTCTGGATAATTGATGGCTTTTATCTGGAATGTCATTAATTAATTATATCATATTTGGTATCTCTTTGAGCATAATTCTTATGATGTTTCTTCATATCAAGTCAAAATTTCCTCAAAATGTAATTCACTTACCTTATAAAGTTGATTCTTTGATATCAATCTTTTATCAATAGTCCATGTGCCTTTCATGATGTATTAGATATTTCTCATTATGAATTTTAGCCTTTTGTGACAGGATGGCATGAAATGTATGTCATGTCCACTGTAATTTTAGTTTATTAACTGTGTCACCAAGGAGTCAAGTATTGGTCATATATACTTTACCTGTTTACTCCTTTCCTTGACATTTAGAATAGTGTTTCCCTAACAGTTATGATTATCATAATGTTAATTTTAACAGTAACAATATTAACAGTATTATATACAAAAAAAAATCAAAGAATAAAAAAATCAAATGAGGTTATGCAAGGCCTAATAATTGCCATTTCTGACCACCAAATTTACGAAGTACCCATGTACAAAGGATTATATGACCAGTAAAGTCCCTCATCTCTCCCTACGGAGGTATTTCATATAGCTACATCTCAAGACTAAAATTAATGTAGAACAGATATTTGCATAAAAGAGAAAATTCACTATTCAGTAACTAATTAACTGCAGTACTTTTTTTGTGAAATGTCTCTGCATATGTTGCATTCGGAAATCCTTGTCTTGCTCGTCCAGGATCAGTGGGCCAAGACTTCATTCAGAACTTCCGAGGATAGCATGTACATGCATGCCATCCCCAAAGGCATCGGATTAATACTTATTCCATCCCCAAATTACATAAATGAAACCCTATTTCCTTACCCTAACACTGGAACCTGAATATTTTGGGATAACAAATTCCAGAATGCCTTCAGCTGAAGTATACATGTTTCTGCATTGTCCACTAATGCACACATTCATAGGTTCATTTGCAGCTGGTGTTTTATCTCGGAACACAGCTTTTACCTAGAAATGAGACATTAGATATTCAAGAACCACGCCACATTCAGCAAATGCACTTGTAATGTGCATGAAGGGATAAAATAAGAGCTAAATCATCAAAAATTAAATTGAAAAACTGAAAAAAATGAAACTAACAAAACTTGTCTATTATATTCACAATTAAACTGGAATGTTTTTTTTTTTCACAATAATTCTCAAAATGAAAGTGAATAAGCTTGAATAATACAAAATCAACTGATCAGCATACCTTTCCAGTGAAAGGTAAATTTGGTTTAAAGTACTCTTCCTTGCCAATATACAAAAATTCCAGAGCTTTGCGTTCAATAGCAGCTACTGCTTCACCTTTGAATTCTTCACCTGTTCCATCTTCAGTTACAGTTGCTGTTAGACTTAACTTGATTTCATAATACCTACTATCCCCAAAATAATCAGCTAGCACTTTTATTTCTTTGCAGCCTGATATCTGGATGCGGAAAACAGACATTAATTCAGTGTTCAGTTATTAAGTAATTCAGTTATTAAGTAAGACATTATATATATACAAAAATAATTACTCATTGTGGTTTTTAGTAGTTTGTCTACAGTATGGTATCTTTTTATTGACTTTATAAAATAACACCCTTTTCAACTTACCTTATTGGTAACAGTGTGTGTTTTCCTATCACTTCCCCATTTACAGTTGTGAACCACCAAAGTCACATTGCCTTTGACTGGCTGTCCAAAAGTGTATCTGAAATAAATATACTCATATTTTAGATAAAAATCATATGCTTTCATCAAACTGTACAATTCAATATCTAATCTTGAAGCACCCCATTTTCATCTGTCATACTTACTTGGCACATACAGTGAAAGTAAATTCAGTGTCTGTAGCCAGTATATATTTGGGTGGCACCACAGTGACTTCAAAACGTGGAAGGACGTATTCTTCCACCTTGAATTCCTTAGTTGTTGATGGACCACCATCTTCTGCCTGGACCTTAATCCTGTATGTCCCCTGAAATACAGCAGACAATTCTAAATTCTTTATCATTCATAATTTATTTGGCAATCATTAATGACACCATTTATATATTGCTCATGATTTGCACAACTTTATTTCATGTATCACTGCTGAAAATAGCATCATACCCTTAAACATGAGAAATAAGGAAAATGAAATCCTAAAATTTAGAGTCAGATACAGACTTCACATGTAAGCACCCAGTAAATAATGAAAGCATCAATGAAAATTTTATACCGACCCCTCTATTAATATCAAAATCTAAAAAAATAAACCTGACATGCATAGCTTTAGTCAAACTGGTTCCACATGAATTCACCTACTGTTGCTGCAACAGTAAGAATACAAGCCATTTTCTTTATTGTCTTTATGCATTGATGATTTCACAAGTCAAATCACTAGTTCACTCTCTTCCTTGATTTTCAGATAGATTCATTTTGAATTGTTATTCATTGTGAATAACACTATAATTATAGAATGTAAACAACAATAATAGCAACATCAATACTGACAGCATTACAAACAAAATCCTGAAAACTCAAGAAGAAAACAGTGGTAGACTGTGATTATCCAGCAGCAATGGGTTAAGCACTGCTTTCCTATAAACAAAAGCCTAAGTGAAAAAGATGGTTAAATTTGAAATGACCTTTTTTAGGACATATCAATCAGCAAAGACACTTTTTTATTACCTGTTCGGATTCGTCTACAAGTTTGAATGTCTGATGTATAAGTCCTGCCGAGTTCTCCACATTGGTCCACTGGGCAATGCGGCTTGACGATGGTGTCTCTACCCATATCAGAGGATACTGCAAGAAAAATATATTGCAATTGCATATAAATAACTAAGTACATTGTTAACTAGTTAATGTTTATCTCGTGTCTAGTTGTGAAACTTTTCAACAACACAAACTGATTATCAATTCTAAACATGGCTTAATCCTATTATCACAATAAGGATATATCTTGTCAGCTACTATTTGAAATATCTTAAAATATTCTTGATAATTTACTTACACTTTCTTTTGATATTTTCAAGAAGGGTCCTGTCACTGTAAGAATCCTAAAATGCACATTTTGACCCGGTTTATAAATGTATTTATCAGTCTGTATAAAAGTCTTCCTGATGCCAGTAGCAAATAATATGGGCTTCTGATAATCAACCTTCTGGCCACCGAGTGTCCCGTTGACCTTAATCAGTCCCTGTTTGTGCAGAGTTACAGGCACAAATATTCTATTACACAGTTCCTTTTCACCTGCAAGCAAAAGACCAGTAGATCGGTTAACCAACCTGTTGCATGAGATTTCAGTTAGAAAAAAAAAAATAATAATAATAATTGAAACATTATTGAAGAAAGAGCAGGAGGAAGAGAAAGAGAAAGAGGAGAAAGAAAACAAAGTAACAGAGAGAGAGAGAGAGACAGCGAGAGAGACAGAGAGACAACAAGAGAGAGAGAGAGAGAGAGAGAGAGAGAGAGACAGACAGACAGACATACAGACAGAGAAAGAGAGACAAAGGGACAGAGGCAGAGAGAGACCAAGACAGAGACAGACAGAGATAAAGAGACAAGGACAGAGACAGAGGCAGAAAGAGGCAGAGACAAAGACAGAGACAGACAGGGAGAGAGAAAGAAACAAAGACAGATAGAGGCAGAGAGAAACAGAGAGGGAGAGGGGGAGAGAGAGAGAGAGAGAAAGAAGGAAAGTGACAGAGATGAAGACAGAGACGGACAGAGATAGAGACAGACAGACAGATACAGACAGAGATAGACAGAGACAGAGACAGAAACAGAGAGGCCGAGAGAGACAGAGACAGAAACAGAGAGGCCGAGAGAGACAGAGACAGAAACAGAGAGGCCGAGAGAGACAGAGACAGAGGGAGAGGGGGAGGGAGGGAGGGGGAGAGAGAGAGACAGACAGACAGACAGCGAGAGAGAGAGAGTGACTGCGAGAGAGAGAGAGAAAGAGAATGGGGGAGGGAGAGGGCAGACACAGAGACGGACAGATAGAGACAGAGTCAGGAAGACAAAGACAGAAAGACAGAGACAGAGAGACAGACACACAGAGATAGAGACAGGCAGAGAGATAGAGGCAGAGACCGACAGAGATAGAGTGAGACAGAGACAGACAGAGGCCGAGAGAGACAGAGACAGACAGAGACATACAGAGAGAGAGAAAGAGAGACAGAGAAACAGATAGATATATATAGAGAGAGTATACCGTATTCATAACCACGATTTGTGTATGGAAAACCGCGTGGCTGTTTGCCATGTGGCTCGAGGTCCAGAAGAGAATCATCGCTTCGGTGGACGCACGCTATTTATAGCCAAGGATGACCCGGCATTACAGAGTTCGTGCCCAGCGCTCGTCGTGTCAAGGTCGCCCCTAGCCTCTGGCCTTTCAGGGCTGGAGGGCAGAACCTGCACTCAGATGTGCCCTTGCTCATTCTCCCCAGCCTCCACCCCCCCTCCCCCACAGGGATGGTCGGCGCCACGACCTCCCCGCACTCAGCGTTTACCCAAGACTCGTCTCGTGTGTTACCATATCTGTGTTGCTGTTGTACTCTTCAGAATTATAGAGTCAAGCCATCATACCACTATTACTGCTCCTTCAAACCAATGTTTAAAGGTCCTCCATATACCTTTTACAGAGAGACAGAAGGAGACAGAGAGAGGCCGAGAGAGACAGGGACAGAGAGAATGAGAAAGAGAGAGAGACAGACAGACACAGAGAGAGAGACACAGACACAGAGGGAGAGAGACAGATACAGAGAGAGACAAACAGAGACAGACAGTGACAGAGAGACAGAGAAAGAAAGAGAGAGACAGTGAGAGAGAAAGAGATAGACAGAGACAGAGCGAGAGAGACAGACAGACAGACAGACAGAGACAAAGACAAAGACAGAGACAGAGGGAGAAAAAGAGAGAGAGAGCGAGGCAGAGAGACAGACAGAGAGAGAGAGAGAGAGACAGACAGGCAAACAGACAGACAAACTGAGCGACAGAGAGAGAGAGACAGACAGACAGAAATAAAGAGAGAGAGAGAGACGTAGCCACGTGGTACGCGGCGTACCCATGTGGTGTGCTTGCCACGTGGCTCCTAAGCTGGCGCCCCCACGCCACAGTTCCAGGGTATTTAAGGCCGAGGATGACCCGGGTCAGGGTGAGGCCGGGCCATAGCCGAAAGCCCGGGCGAAGCTAGAACTTCGCAAATCGCTACCGACCGGGTCAGGGAGAGTTCGTGCCCAGCGCTCGAGGGGTCAAGATTTACGGCCCTCGGCCTACGGCAGTCAGGACGGGAGGGATCAGGTCATATTACCAGCCTTTCCCCCGCCCCACACACACACAGGGCTGGTCGGCGGACCCGCCGACCTTCTCGCACTCTTTACCCCAAGATTGTCTAGGGTGTTTATCTCTGTGATGTTATTGTACTCTTAGAAAATAAAGAGTCAGCCGAGTTAACAGCTATTACCACTGCAACCACTGTACAAAGGTCATCTAATAGCCCTTTACATTCTGGTAGCAGCGGTGTAGTTGCGACCTTTAGGCTCGCAACGTGGGCACAAATTCTCCCATTACCGCTCGACTCCATTGTTACCACGATGACTGGCCTTCAAAGCCGCCGCTGTGAATACACAGCCTCCGGGCTAGTACAGTGGTAACGTGTCGGCCTCTCATCTGAGGGGTCGGCGGTTCGCGCCCCGCCCAGGCGCGAGAAGTTGCAATTGTCGCCTGGAGGTTACTGCTGTGGCCGGGCACCACGGTGGGTAAGGACTAAGCTCACCCAAGTCAGCACCTGCTGACACACTGATAGCGAGTCGACATACGTCGGCACAGGCCGGGCTCCCCCATAGCCCGGGCGAGGTCCACAGCTTCGCATATCAGACTTATCCTTATGTGAGTACACATTTTGGGCCATTTCCTTTCTTTTCTATATCTTCTCCCATAAATGTGTTAAGCCGTTTGTGCAGTCACTCACATGGGTTTTTGTTGGGTTAAAGTGCTAATTGACAGCAAATTTCATGCTCTCATACTTCTGACTTCAGATCACATTACTGTGTGAATATCGTTCATTTATTAAGTATTTATTATTTTTTTCTCGTAATTAGAGAGTTATATTGTTTCAATTGCAACGAATTTAGCGCGTTCGTGAATTTATTGTTTTCATGAACATCATTCAATATTTCTTTTCTCACTGCCCATTTCTCGTCTTGACCTGACCTCTGAGTGAAAATAATTAGTCAAAAGCTCCCTTACCGACTGCGGATTGACCTCACCTTCACTTTGAGTGATTGACACAGTGAAATGGCTGAGAAAACTGCTTGCTATCCCCTCTTAATTGTTTTCTATAATTGTTACAATATAGGGATAACGCGTAGCAACCGTTACATGTTCATTAGTGACACATTCTATCGGCGATAGAACAGAGCTTGTAACGCGATACATTTATAATTTTGAGTATAGCGTCAGGGATCTTCTCCGTATCATAGTGCCAGAGTGCCTGATTACCCTGGGGTTGCTTTTATGCGTAACAGACCTGCGTCCCGATGTAATGATAGTAGGTATAGGTATAACCGAAGTATTCATACACTCGGCAACTTTGAGCCGGTGTGACCCACAATTTAAGTCCAAGAAACTAATGTCGGACTAGGGTTTAAGCTTGATTCATGATTCACTTATCAATCACACCCTGCTCACACTTTTACACGTCGCTGGCATGTTGGGTAAATCCCATCGATTTGATTCATGATAAATACCCATAGGGCATAGATTCGCAGATAGAGTGGGTTATTTACAAATTTTCCCAGCTCGTTTCGCTTCGTAAAGTACGGCATTTTGGGGTACATACCCCCCGTCAATGAAGTCTGCATGCACAGCTAGACAACTTACCTCAGCAAATTGTCCCCGAGAAGATTCGCTCGCGAAAAAGCTTGCGAATATTTTTCACGTCACCATTCATTAGTGCGTCATTCTGTCGCATATCATTAAATGTTAAATTCAATGTGATAGTTGAAATAATTTTGTATTATGTCTATACCTAGTTAGTCGTACGGTCACTCACTCACCGACGCAGAACAAAAGACACTGAAACATTCATTGATAGGGTTTGTTACATTCGTATTTGCAGGCGTAAGATCTATGACGTATCTCTTCGTCCGCGATTTTGTCAGTCGTGATGTGTGACTTGTACATGAATTTTTATTTCACATTTACTTTTCTGTGTTACGACAATGGTTCAAGTAAATCTTAGCGGGTTGCCAATTGTCGTTTCCCTTACTTATTCTCGCATCTCTCAAGAGACGGTAGTAGCGTCCTTGCGGACGCTACTACCGTCTCCCTCTCCTATTTTCTTCTTTAACTTTGTGAACGTAAAGCACAAAATGAAAAAAAAGACGAAATTAACGAAAATTCGACCATAAAAGCTGCAAATTATAAAAATCGGCTAGTGGCACCCCCTCTTCTCTGTTGTCTTTTTTTTCTCTTACTGTCTTCGCCCTTATGTATATAATCTGGTTCATGATATCTGACACAACACCGAAGGAGGCCCTGCTGCAGAAACCCTTCGGACGCTATGGACCGGAAGATCGCCAGAAGACTGGAGATCAGGATGTTCGTTAGAGCAGGTATCAAGCCGCCCCAGGATGTGGAAGGGCGCCGCCTGTCAGGACGCCCATAGATCCAGCGAAGGACCAGGAACTCGCCAGCGCAGGTACCAGTCGCCCCATGAAGCTGTGGACGGGCGCCGCCTGCTTGGATGCCGCAAATCCAGTCAAACTCTAGCAGCTCGTCAGCACTTCCTGCCGGACCCCGCGGATCCTGACGAAGATTACGAGCGCGCAGCCGAGAAGGACCTGGACGAGTAAGCCGCCTGGACGAGGACTACGAGGAAATCTGGACGAATCCGAAGTCAAGGAGCACCAGTGCAAGACCTTGTAAATGTCGAGGACGGACGGATACCAGGGACCAGGATGAAGATGACGACAAAGACGAGCAGCCACGAAGATGCACCAGGGACACCGCACGCGAGATCGAGGACTAGCAAGTCAGGACCAGCCAAATTGAGTCACCCTTGAGGCAAGTCTAAGGCGCCTCGAGGGCGAGGCGCCAGTAGTGGCCGAGCAATATACTGTGTATTCAAGCATGTATAGAACGACGTGGCTGCCGCTTGCCACGTGGCGCCTCAAGTGGCGTGCCCCACGCGGGTGGGCAAGGAGCCCCCCCACGCCACTTCTCGGATATTTAAGGCCCACGTTTGACCCGTTCAGAGAGAGTCAGTGCTCAGCGGTAGTCCAGTCAAGGTCGCCTGGCCTACGGCCTGAAGGGGCGGGAAAGCTCAGGTCACTTACGCCTCCCCCCGTCAGGCTGACCGCGCTTGCCTTAAGGCTTGTCTCGTTAGTGTACTTATTTCTGTGTTGCTTGTACTCTTGGTAAATAAAGAGTCAAAGCCATCGTCCCCTATTACTATTCCTACAACCAATGTTAAGGCGTCAATTAATAGCCTTTACAGAGAGAGAGGGAGTGGAAGGAGAAGGAAGAGAAGAGGAGAGGGAGAGGGGATGGAAGGGAAGAGAAGAGAGGGAGAGGGAGGGAAGAGGAGAGGAGAGGGGGGAGAAGGGAAGAGGAGAGGGAGAGGGGATGGAAAGGAAGAAAAGTGAAGGGAAGGCAATGCAAGGGAGGAGAAAAGAAGAAAAAAGAAGAGAAGAGGAGAGGAGGGGAAAGAGAAGAGAGGAGAGGAGAGAAAGGGACGAAATTTGAAGAAAAGAAAATCGTGTATACCTACATAAAATCAAGCCATAAAGCCAAACATAAACAACATTTACAAAGCTGAAACTAAACCCGACCTTGAGGAATGATGATGTGGCCTAACACCAAGACCTCGGTGCTGTCGGCCTCGGCGGTAACTTGGATGCTGACCTCGTTCTCTCCGTCAGTCGCACCGGTGACAAAGGCGCAAACCTGCGCGGCCTCCCCAACACTCCATTTCCGAGGCGTCGTAATGATATGGCTCCTGTGGAAAAGAGAGGATGCGGTCAAAAAGCGGCTGCTTTCAGAGGTTGACTGCTATCCTGTTGGATGTTGTAGTATGGTGGTGTTACCGTCTGTGGCTCCTGTGTGAGGCATTGTGAAAATGAGACTCTTTTGACAAGTATTTTAATTGTTGGTTTGCTGCGAACTATTGCAGTGCGAATATAATGAATTGTCATTTGGCTAAAAAAAGATAAGGCGGGAGATATGGCGCTGAATGATTTTGTTGTGATTGTTTGCGCCTATACTGTTATTATAGATCTTCTGTAAGAAAATTACAAGAAAAACGCTGCTCTTATCTGCCAGGTCCAGTCCACTGATAATTACTTGAGTCACTGCAAGGCTTGTACGGTATGGTGAAGAAGCACCGCTTATCGTTCTTAGTAATGCACAGACTTGATCATGCCATAGTGGGGCATTTTTCCGGTGTTCGACAAATAAGATGAAAATTCTGGTCCATAAATAGAGTTATAAATCCGTGTACAATAGGTTTCTAAAGATATTGTACTCCCCACTCTTTGGCTATCGAGAGGCGCAAAGAGGCAAGCCCTTACTTATTTCAACTTTGCTATTTATAACAATGGTGGTAACCGAGCCAAAATGAGTAAAGTTATGATTTTGGGCTTCAGCATCAGGATGATTGCATATTAGCATCCCGAAATCAATTTAATATTTTCAAGATAGATATCATGTATTATGTAGTAACTAACTGTAAATTGCTTAAGTTTAAACGTGTTTCTGAAAGTCATTACTTCGCTAGCTCTCCTGCATCTTTAATGGTTTTGAGATGGCATGCTTAAGCATCTATACTATTCGTGATACTAAGGCATGATCAAGTCTCTAAATTCCCCAAGATATTCTCATAATTCCTAATCAGCACTGGATTTGCTTTTATCAACTCCTTCCTTTACAGTTGCTCTTAAATTCCCTACAGGGATTCACATCCGTATTCTTCCCAGGCCATTTAAGCACCTAGTTTTAGTCTGAAACCAGGTCATAACAGAACAGGACAGTATTATTTTTTTGAGCCAAGCCCTGTTGGAAAATACTATTGGTTGAAGTTTCCTCCCCAATACTTCCTTAAACTGCTCCGTATTCATAGTGCCACTGGCTACGACTTATCACCATCAAACCCTACATCATAACATTGGTGGAAAACACTGATTTCACGTAGGTCTCATTTCCGCCGTCAAAAACTGTCGAGATACACTTTCCTATAACTCAGCCCCTATTTATGTGGAGCGTGATGAGGGTGCGGGGCCGCCTCTGCCTGGTTTGAAACTGTAAGAAAATGGGAAGCTCAAATTTGATGCTACACTGGATGATGTATTATTCAGTGAAAATGAGGATATTATTGCAAATAGTGCCAGGCTAAATGTATTTGCATCTCTGTGTGCATATATGTATATGTATATAAATATGTATATGAATATATATATATATATATATATATATATATATATATATATATATATATATATATATATATGTGTATATGTATATATATATGTATACATGCATGTATATTTATATATATATATATATATATATATATATATATATATGAAAGATTGAATAAAGCAATGCAGCACTGATATAGATATATAACAATCCACCCTGACCAGGCCACGTACTTAGGTCACTCCGGGTATGATGAGATCGGAGGGCCAGTACCCATGGTTTAGTACTGGCCTTCCTCATACCCGGAGTGACCAAGGTTCGAGGCCTGGTCAGGGAGGATTGTTATATATATATATACAGGAAGTGTCGCGAATGAAATTAGCGGCACTTTCTAGTGTCGTCATACAGTTTTTTGACAGCGGAAATGAAGGCTCATATTGCGTGGAAATCTTATCTGTTTTTTTGCTTGTTACCTTGCAGCTCTATGCTGCATTTTCATCTAAAACATCAGCTGAGAAGCGAAAAAATGTAAAATTAAGTAGATATAAAAGAGGTAATTTGGGTTACATTTTGAAACTCGGTCAAAATTTTTCCATAAAAACCAAACAATAATTTTTTGTTTTAGAATGACAAATTAGGGAAATTTCTGTATCTTTTGTCAGTAGGGGGATATTCACCCCATGCCCATTCTCAATATGATTTCATCTTTTTTTTTTTTTTGTCTATGTACACATGTAAAGTGGCTAAAAAAATATCGTTGCTCTGGAGTAAGTGACACCGAAACGATCGCGCATTGATCCGGAAAGACTGGTACTTGTTTTAAAAACTCACAACAGATGATGTTTCATAACGTGTTCGAATAGTGTTTCGGAGTTATTATGGCTAGGGCCTTGTATCAAGGCAATATTAGCAATGGAGATAATACAGACCATTCATAAAGCCAAAATTGCTCTTTACTCTGAAGGGCTATCAAGAGTCAAACTATCAAGATTAGGTATTTCAAAGCGAACTGTATCTCTGTAGATCTAGCGACACCACGAAACTGGATCCACCAGAGACAAGGCCAGAGAAGGCCTTGACCAAACGTTTAGTCAAAAAATCTCATCCAAACGTTTAGTCAAATCAGTATGGCACTTTAGCATATTTGATACTATAGTGCAGTACCAAAAGTAGTTAATTATAACACATCCTTATGCTAAAACAGGATTCAAATAGTTAAAGCGTGACGTCTACAAATCCACTACCACTCCTTCCTCACCATCACCCCCTATCCCCTCCTCCTTGCCTCCTTCCTCATCCCTTTCAACTCCTTCCACTCTCCTCACGCGCACGCGCACACGCATGCACACGTATATATATGAAATCCAGTTAAAAATGTTTCGCATATCGTAAATGAGGTAATGACAGAATTGTTCACGACTGTGATTGTTGTAGTCTTGTGAGGGCGTTTTACAGTGTGTAGTATGTTATAATGGTGAACCTCGAGCAATAGTTAGCTTCTTAAAACATGCATAACTGGATTTCGCGCGCGCGCGCGTGTGTGTGTGTGTGTGTGTGTGTGTGAGAGAGAGAGAGAGAGAGAGAGAGAGAGAGAGAGAGAGAGAGAGAGAGAGAGAGAGAGAGAGAGAGATGCAAGAGAGAGGGGAGAGTCGAAAGTAAACGCTGTAATTAAGTACACTTTGTAATGCGATATAGTACAGCAACAAAAACAGGGCATGGTATGAAACTGTTTGACTATTCATTTGGGAGAGATTTGCCTGAACCATGTGTTATATGAAAGACACGTAGGAAGTTTTCATGTAACTGCATGGATACCATGATACTTAGCGGCTTTACCTAATTTGCCTAAGACTTAAGATACTTGGATCATACATAATATGTGAGCATGGATCCCAATATCAGGTCTAGCTTACAGCACTTTCTGGTGAAGACTACAAAAGCATACTATTTTAATGTTTCTTTCACACCTATCTTGGGGTGCAGACCGCACAACACTTCGGCTTTACCGAATACTAATACTTCATATCAAACTTAAATGTGGATGTGAGGACTGCATGGACTTGATTTACAACCACAGACTGCAAAGGATTCCAGAATGTCCTACATTCAGATTGGTTTTCACCACCCTCGAGAACAGCCGTTCATTTGGTAGAAGAATGAGTAATCTTATGGAAGATCTAAATTTGAATCTCTCCAATTACCCCCTTTAAACCAAACTAGTCGAGCTGGATTTGGTCGTAATAAAGGGGGAGAGATCCGAGGTAGAAATTAGGGAGAGATTTCTAAAATAACAGTCACATGCCATCGGTTGAAATTTTAACCATGTTGCTAATTATTTACTTCATATTTTACCCACACAGAGTGAATATTTTGTGCATCTTTATATATAATTTTCATATTAAGAGGCTTACGATAGCATTTGTGGTTAATGGAAATGTAAATCCCTGAGATGTTCCTACAATCATGTATTGCAAAGTATCCCACTCTGATTGGCTGGAAGGAGTGTATCGCTGTAGAGGTAGAGATGTTTCAACAGGTTCCTGTAATGAGTGCGTAAAAGGGTACAATGTTATAGAATGTAGTGTTAAGGGTTTCGGAGATGCTACAAGAATGGCATTTACTACTGTATGTAATATCATGCTGGCCGCTGATCTATGGCAAGCATTTGGCAGCAGAGCCACCAACTTGTGTTAAGTCAGGTAATGCTTTTCAATGTCCATAGTGTCACAAATACTTGCACATACTTTACCGTGTGTACATAGACATAAATACATACTTATGTTTGCGTCTGTAATTATATCTATGTTTATATACTTACTCATACAGATAACATACATACATACATACATATATACATATAAGTGTATGTGTGTGTGTATATATAAGTATATATATTCATAAATACTGCTTGTTCAACAGAATTGAGGCAATGGTCATCACTGGATTGGTTGCCCTCCCTGGCCTATACCTCCACGCATCATTCTAAATTCCAACACAAAGGCAGCTGAAGTAAGGAAAAATCACCTTTCAACGATACAAAATTGAGTACGGATGAACGTGAGAGAGAGAGTGAACAATATATCCAACACATCCATTGCCACCTAGGGCTAAGAATTCACAAGTAAACATTGTAAAGAAGATGCACAAGAGAGAAAAATTATAGATGCTAAAATGAATGCACAACTCGCATTTATATTTCCAGCTCACCCATGCCCCCTCTCTCCCTCTCACTCACTTCCTCTCTTCACCTCTCTCACTATCTCCTTCGCTCTCTACCTCTACATGTATTTTTACCTGTACCTTTCCCTCCAGCTCTCCATTGTGGGGAAGCTTACAGTAGCAGTAACTTTTTTTCATGATTATTCTTTGAGCATTAGTCCTTGTGTATTTTCAGTTAACAAGCTTTGGCCTTTACATATCCCATGACATCATCTGCTATCTGAACTTAGGAAAGGGCCGAAGATACGCCACTGAAAGACCGAGGAGTCAAGAAGCAATGGAAGGGCTGATAAGACACCTTTGGATGAATAGAAGAGGCATCTTTGGAAATGTCAAACGTCAGAAATGGGGTCCTAAGACATC